TTACACTGATTTTGATGTAATATTTTTTCTGCAAAACACTCGTAGAGCTCCGGGTCTAGGACGGAGCTCCATCTAGGCGGAAAAAAAATAAAAAAATAAACACATCATGGTAAAATTAATACCTTCTCAGCTTCGCATCGAAGCTAATATATAAAAAATTATTTTACAAAAATCGTAATTTTTTATTAACTTTGATGTCTANAATTTTCACACAAAAATAGCATTCGGTAGCCGTTTTCACCACGAAGACAAGTCTAGAGGTCAAATTTTTTTTTTTCAAATTAAAGTATATTACATAAGCTTTAATTTAAGATATATATAAATGTGTCAGACCTTCCGGAACACTTTCAAAAGTTAAGTTGAAAAAGTTATACATGCTATATGCATTTCTTATATTTGAAGCCCCCCCGTATATAGGGAAATGGTCTGATTTAAAAAAAAAGTATGTCGAATGAAAGATGTATATAAATACTACTTCTCATGAAAAAATTGTATTGATCCATACATTTTTTAAAAAGTTATAGCATTTTTAAGTAAAAAATGTAAATTATAAAATCGAGAATTTTCATACAAAAATAGCAGTCGGTAGCCAGTTTCACCACGAAAAAATTGAAAAAATGAGCGATTTTTAAATTTGAAATTTTTTTGGAGGTTTCCCCCATTTACGGGGAACGAGGGAATTTTTTTTAATTTTTGAGGGTAATGTCTTCAACTAGATACGATTTGTGATCTTTTGACGTATTGTTGAAAGAAATCCGTTCGGTGAGAACTGAGTAAAAGTGGAAACAGACACAAAAAAAATAAAAAAAAAACACATCATAGTAAAACCAATACCTTCTCAGCTTCGCATCGAAGCTAATATGCTATTTTTGTGTTCAAATTCTGGGTTTTATATTTTATTTTATTTTAAAATATCTTACAAGGGGAATACACTGACTTTAATGAATATCATATAATTTAATTGACACAGAATAAAGTTCATAAGACATAAGAAATTAAACTTATTTAAATTTTTTTAATTTTTAAAGTCGAAAATGTAATTTTTAAATTTCAATCAGCTTAAATTGCTTTGAGGTTCACCAACCTCATTATAAATACAGCCTCCGACGTTTTTGAGTTAACTAGCTACTCCGGCAAGAGACCTCCAGTCCCTTGGTGGAATAAAACAAGCTATACGAAAAAAAAAACTGCCTTCAACAGATACAAGTGAACCTTAGACCTTCAAGATTATATACAATTCAAAAAAAAACAAAGCGCAAGTCAGATACCTAATTAAAAGTGAAAAAAAAAAAGTCATGGGAAAATGTTACATCTAGTTTAAATAGTCATGTTTCCCCAACTTTAATGTGGAACAAAATTAAAACTTTAAAAGGAATCCCCTTTACACAAATAAAACCACTAACGGTAGGGNCCCCTTTACACAAATAAAAACACTAACGGTAGGGCAAACAGTTTATACAGAACCTAAAAAAATAACCAACCAAATAGGACAGTTTTTTTACTCCAACAGTAGTAACTCTAGTTTGAATCCAGACTTTTTGAAATTTAAAGAAACTCAAGAATTAATTATCTCACCGATCCCCACATCAACAACAAATCAAGGTTCAATTCTCAACGATCCTATCACAATGTCAGAACTAAACTCTAGTCTAGAAAGAAAAAAAAGTAATAGTTGTGGACTAGACAAAATACCATTCTTATTTCTCCAGAACCACTCCATTAAAGGAAAAAATCTATTCCTCGAGTTGTATAATAATGTTTGGTTGTCCGGTATTATCCCAACTTTATGGAAAAATGCTACCATTACCCCCATTCCTAAAAAAGAGCAAGACAGACACAAACCTTCAGGATATCGCCCTATCTCTGTCTTATGTAACATAAGTAAAACACTCGAAAAAATAATTTATAATAGGCTTAATTGGTACGTACAAAAATTTAATCTGTTATCCTCAAACCAGCATGGATTTAGGAAATTTCACTCAACTACAGATTGTCATGTTAAAATTGAAACGGAAATACTCGAATCTTTCGCAAACAAACGTTCGTGAACAACATAAAAATTCTAGGGTTGATTTTTGATAACAAACTTACATGCAAACCTCATATAATTAAGACCAAAACAAGCGCAACCAAAAGTATCAATATCCTGAAAACGTTGAGTCATGTTGAATGGGGAGCAGAAAGCTCCGTCTTAATCAACCTATATAGATCTCTTGTTAGATCTAAATTAGACTATGGATCAATTTGCTATACCAATTCAAAACCTAACCTCCAAAAAACAATTGACATAATTCATAATAGTGGTCTAAGAGTTGCAACCGGAGCATTTAGAAGCAGCTCCATCCCAAGCATTTTATCCATTTCTGGAGAACCTCCCCTTCATATTCGCAGAATCAAATTAGCTCTAAATTATATTGCTCGCATCCTTTCCTCCCCAGAAAACTCTACATTACCATTCGTGACTCAAAATCGTTTTGCAAATATATTTTGCTCCAATTCAAATCTAAAAAAACCATTGGGTTTAAGGATGCTGAATGAAATGTCGCTTAACAATATCGATCCAAATTCAATTATCAAACGAGAATATAGTGTGGTGCCTTCTTGGAGGGAGCCATCCTTTCTCGT